AAAGCTGTAGTCATGATTGATTTTTCTTTACCTTTTCATGGTAAGGATAAGGAGTTTCTTTGCCTATGTGAGATTCTAGTGATTGTATCACATCATCCTCTCCTAGACTCAGTACTTTTCAACAGTGAGACCTCTGACTTACCCTTTAGGCTTTCTTGAATAGTGTTGCAGAAAGCACCCCCAAACAGAAGATAATCATAAGGTTCCTCTTATGAGTTTCTCCAAGAGTTTTCCTGAAATCATTATTTGATATATTGCACTGTAAGTTTTCTCTCAATAATATTTTAGCCCATCTCATTCATTTTTTAGAAAACACAAGTAGCTATCATAATTCGAACACCATGAAGTTATACTGGCATCATGCACCATGTCTACCTTTGCTTCACACTGTCTTCTTAGCTCAGCAAAACTCACATTCTCTGGCATAATTCTTTAATCCAGTAAATGTTCCTTTCTTCCTGAAATGTGCATGGGGTGTGTGTGTGTGTGTGTGTGTGTGTGTGTGTGTATACACACACATATGTTTTGGTGCATGTGGAAGTCAGGGTCAAGCTCAGGTGTTGTTCCTCAGGAGCCATTTACCTTTTGAGACAGTACCTCTCACTGTACCTGGGCCTCCCAGTTAGGCAAGGCTGTCTGCAGTCTGCAGGGATCCTTCTGTTTTTGCTTGCCCCCATGCTGGGATTCCAAGCCCAGGCACCATACCTGGCTTGACCTTGGGTTTTTATGTTTGCACCTTAAATACTTTGTGGACTGAACTGTCTTCCCAAAGCCTCCCTGAGCTTTTTCTTTTCCTTCTTCAGATTCTTGGTTTTGTGCTTCCTTTAGTAGTCTGTCAGCAGACAGCTGTAGCTTGTCCTCATGTACCGTAGCACTCTGAGATTCTGCTTCTACATTGCTTTGAAGGTTTTTACTGAATTTCTAGAGTATACTTTGATTCTTTGGTTTTAACATTTTCTTCTATAAATGAATCTCAAACTACATTAAAAATTTAGAATCCATAATTGTAAAATCTGTGGCATGAGATGCATATTTAAAATTCAACAGGTCAAAATAAAGCCCATTGCTCCTGTGTCCCCATCACAGTTTTCTTCTCTGCACTCTTGGCAGTAACACCTATTCAGCTAGCCACAGGAAAACATCACCATGGTTGATCTCGCCCTTGTCCAAATGGCACTAGTATTTCTCTGAGTATTGATTCTCCTGAAGGGTATTTATGGCTTCCTTAGCTGCTGGCCCTCAAGCACTTGTCTAGCTCAGACATAACTTCTGAGGTTTCTAAACACATTTTTAAAAGCCTTTTATAATATTTTCCATATTGTAGCACATTGTCATACTTCGTGGGCTAGTACTATTTTATTTAATGTCTTCCAGTTTCTACAACAGCTAGTATTATGTTGGTGATCAGTACTTTTTTGTTATTCTTTGGGAATTATTATCTATGTCCAGTCTCAGATTCTTCTATTTGCTACGTGTTAGAGGTACTATCTTTTAAAAATTACTCTCTTTTTTTGACATTTATCTATATAATAGAATTCAAGCTTATACCATGGAAGACAGAGTCTAAAATAAGCAAGCTTTATATTTTTTTCTTAAATTCTGTCATCATAAATGTGTATTATTCTTTTGGTACATATGTTCTTTGCTAGTATTTTTATTTAGAACTTGTGTTTTCTGTAGAATAAAAAGTGGATTAGAAATGAAGGCACTTTAGGAATAGGATAAAGGGGGAGAACAATAGGGAATGGAAATTATCAAAATATATGTAAATATGAAAATACCACAAACCCATTTTTCTGTATAGTTAGTATACACTAAAAAATAATAAATGCTTTCTACAAATGATTGTTCATGCCCTTTATGTGTAGATACTATTTTAGCTTATGTAGAAATACAAAGATGAGTACACTGTACATAGTAATCCTTTATACTAGTCCCTTATATTTCCTTTGATGAAAAATTCCATCCTTCAAAACTTAAAATGTACTATTACTTTGTATGTAACATCTCCCTAGATTTTTCCAGTATAAATTAGTCACTCTGTCTCCAAAGTGGGCACTAGGAATGATGATTAAGAGAGTTCGGAGATAAATCAGGAGAGTCGTGTTAACCAATGCCAAGAAACATGGTTTAGGGAAGGGAAGACAGTCCATGTCCTAAGCCCTAGAGCATCAAGAAGTGGTGCAAACTGTAGATTGGTCACTGAATTTGGCAATTAGCAACTTAGTTATTTTTTATAAGAATAAATTCCATAAAGTAGCAAAAGTAGACATCAGATGGCAGGGGCTTTTGAAATACATAGAATTCTTCCTCATAATTATAAAAACTTAGCTGATGTTTTTATAGAAATTGGCTGGCAGACAAATTGAAGCTATATCATCCAAATAAAGACCTAGAATCCTGAATATATTATATTAATTTAGAGAGGATCTGTATCTCTTTTCTCAAGTAGACTGATAGAACTGATGTTTTTTTAAAAATATAAATTTAGAAATATAATCACTGTCTCATTCCATTAGAAGCCTACTGCAACACCATCACAATCATAGGGCATTCATCAACATTACTGGTACTTTATTTAAAGCATGCACATATTATTTAATCTTGGAAGGTTTTCATAATGGCTTTATTGATGATGCATTCTTCCTCATTTCTTTCCTGGCATTAAACTAAATCAATACAGTCTCAATCAGTGGTGTCTCAAGTTTGAGAAAACATGACAATGATGTAGAGAATATTGCAGTTTAGAGAATGTCAAATTGTTGAATATTATTGTAAATATTGTTATTTGAGTCCTTTTTACAATATGAATACTCTTTACTGGGTCATTGAGTTAATACATAAAGTTTATCTTAAAATAATACTTTAAATGGAGGTAGGGGTGCAATAAAGGAAGAAAGAATCTATAGGAAACCTGTTCTGTATTACTTAAAATTGCTATCGATTATGTTTGGAACAAATCTTGCTGAATTATAATTCTTACCAATTTTGTATTTTGTGCTCAGTATGGCAGCATAGCTTTTTATTTCTAAGCTTGCATTGTAGGCTATTTCTGTTCATTAATCTCTTTAAAATCACAGCCATGTATTGAGTACACACCATAACACTTCGTAGGGTATTCAGCACTTTAAATAATCTATCATTCTTGGCAGATTTTTTTTTTAATTACGTGGGGACTGGAGAGATGGCTTAGCAGTTAAAAACACTTCCTGCTCTTGTAGGGGACCCAAGTGTGGTTCCTAGCCCACACATCAGGCAGTTCACAACCACCTGTAATTCCATATCCAAGGTACCCATTACCCTTTTACATGCACTACACACACACACACACACACACACACACACACACACACACAAAGGCCAGTTATAGTCGTACATACCTTTAATCCCAACACTTGTGAGGCAGATGTAGACTGATCTCTGTGAGATCAAGGTTAGCCTGGTCTACATAGTGAGTTCCAGACTAGCTGGGGCTATAGGGAGACCCTGTCTCAAAAAAACAAAAGTAAACAAAAACCTTAAGAAAATTTACTGTGTACATTTTTCAACAAATTCTTCTTTGAATTATGTAAAGCAGATATTCATAAGTTTATCATTTATGAGTATGCAAATTTTCTTATAATCCATATTTTAATTTTATGTTTGTATTAAAATATATATTATACAAGCATTAAAATCAAGTCTTGAATACCTATGTCCATATAAAGCAGAGTTATTTTAGATTAAAAATCTTGACATATTTCTTTAAAATATTTTTTTAATTTATTTTTATTTTATGTGTATTAGTGTTGGGCCTGCATGTAAGTGCACCTGTTCATGCAATGTCCACAGCAACCAGAAAGGCATCTGATTCCCAGGTAGTGGAATTATAGATCTTGTTAGCCACTGTGTGGATGCTGGGAACTGAACCTGAACCTCTGGAAGAACATCCTGTACTCTTAACCATTAAGCCATCTTTCCATCCCCTTGGCAAATTTCTTAATATAATAGCACAACAAAGGTTAATAGTCAATTCATGGTTTCTGAAGCTTATTCTTGATGTATGTTCTAAGAGATGACGTTTTTGTTGTTGTTATTTTTAGTTTTGTTTCTTTAGCTTTTTGTGGTACTGGGAATGGAACCCAGAATCTTGCAGGTGTTAGGCAAGTACTCTACCACTGAGCTGTGGTGGGTGTTAGCAACTGAGAGATGAGATTTACTTTTTTTTCCTTTTTCATAAAGGTACAGCTGAGTGGCTTGTCGCAGGAAGTGCCCAGTAAATATTTGTTGACTCTTGGCTTGTCTTTTGTTAACCAGGAATGAATGGGCTTATGGTTTTAAGTGATCATGTGAGAAAAGGTTGGCATCTCAGTTATAATGAGAGTAAAAGGACCATATACTCCAAACCAGGTCCAGAGTGATGAAAACTTCTTAGTCCATTTTGAGCATTGTTAAAATCAATTTAAAATTTTAGAGCCTTGAATCTTCTTGCCCTAAAAAAAATGTTAATTCAGACTTTGAAAATATTTCTAGAGATATGATAAATCAACAATTATAGACCATAACCAGTTCACATAAATCAGTTTGAGTAAATCTGTATTTTTCTCTTTGAAATCAAATATAGCTTAAATCATGAAATAAAAATGTTCTATCACTGCTTGTGTTATTTTAATGATGTCAGTATTTAGTTCTCATAAGAGTAAAAGAGCAGTATAGTAGGAAGGAAATGCAATCTGATGATGCCTACTTTTTTCCTCTGGTAACTGAAGGTTAAATGGGTAGCAAACAGAATGCCTTAAACAAGATTGGTATATTGATTAAAACGCTGATTTAACAGCTCGCAGTTTCCCCTTGGAAACCTGGAAGAGATAAGCCAGCTGCTGTCTTAGAGTGCTCGGTGTCCACTGAGAGTACACTATCTATCATCACAATATGGTGGTGAGAGGTGTTTTATGTTTGTGTTAATTTCCCCCACTAAATCAGTAATTATTACAATCCTGTCCCTGCTGTTTACCCTGCAGCTGTTTTTCCATTTGTCGAGAGAGCGGGTGTTCTCTGAGGACCGCACACGTTTCTATGGCGCAGAAATTGTCTCTGCCTTGGACTATCTACATTCTGGAAAGATTGTGTACCGTGATCTCAAGGTAAAAAAAAAGTAATCAAAATTTGTTTTGCAGGGACTGTAGGGACAAAGAAAGTAATTACAAAGTTACACAGTTTTGAGAAACAACATTCTTAGGAGTGTTGTTTGCAGTAGTTGATCAGAAATTTCATTCCCTAATGTATATGTGGTTCCTTTATGTTTGAGTTTTTGGTGTGTAAAAGCTTCTTTTGACTATAACCAACTCTTGATTTACCAGGACTAATTTCATTTTCCTATAAAAGGTATAATTATAGAAATGCTTTTAAAACTGAGTCAAAGTCAAACACTTTGCAAGTGATATTTTAAAATAGTTCATTATTATATTCAAACATCATATGATGTTTATGAAGAAACTTCCATAACAAATAAGATTATTAAAAGGAAAACATTCATTTTCATTGTAGTCTTAACATTTTGGTAGGATTAAATCATTTTTCCTATAGTCTTTGTAATTTTCTTGTTTTCCATTTGTTAAAACCCAGTATTTGTTTTATTGGTAATAAGAACCTAGCCTTAAGTTCTTTCATGATAAGGCCCTTAGAGTAGCTCAGAGTGGATGCGCATACTCTGTAAATCCAGGTAGAAAACATTGTAGCCTTTTCTGCCTATAGATCTCTATTGGAATTATTTAGCTCTGCCATGGAAGAGTAAAATCACCCTTAAACATTATGTAAATCAATACATTTGGCTGTGTTCCAGCAAATCTTCATTTATGTAAGAAAGCAGGCAGTAGTTTACATTTTGTCCACATTCTGTAGTTTACTTCTCCCCAGAGTAAGTCATGTAAGCAAATAATAATTTTCATGACACTGTCATGAATAAAGTTGGTTATATTGAGGAAATCAGACTCTGGGCATATTTTGAACAAATTCTTTAATTTTAAAATCTTGCATAAAATGTACACATGGGGCTGTGGGGGTACAGCTCACTGGTAGAACACTTCCCTCACATATGTATGGCACTGGGTTCCGTTCCAGCACCTAGGCACCCAGTGTTGGGATGAGGATGGGGAAACTGGAAGTGGTGGTACATACTTGTAATATCCACTACTTGGAACACTGAAGCAAGAAGGTCACAAGTGTGAGACTACCCTTGACAATTTAGTGAGACTCTGTTTCAAAATAAAAATGCAAGACTGGGGAGATGACTCAGTGGGTATAGTGCTTGCTGTTCAAGCATGGTGACCTGAGTTCAGATATCCAGCACCCACAAAAAGCTGGCCATGGAGGCATGCCTCTGGAACTCTATCACTGGAAAGGTAGAGGATTTCTGGCCAGTCAGTCTAGCCTGAATGGAAAGCTTTAGGGTCAGTGAGAGTTCTGTCTCAAAAATGAAATAAAGAAACCATTGAAGAATAAATCTTTTCCCACAAGCACACTAAATACAGATCAGCCAAGTGATTGCTTGATTTTTTTTTTTTAAGAACTAGAAAGGTGGCAGAATTCAGCACCCTTACAGGTACACACTCAGAGCGGGGTGGCGGGGGGAACTTTGGATGTAGCTCAGTGGTCAAGTGCTTGCATAGCATGGGTTTAGTCCCAAGTATGTAGAGAAGAAATGGAAACCATGTCATAATTTTTACCTATTACAATTTGCTGCACAGGGAGCTGAAGTTGATGATTCAGTGGTTAAGAGCACTTGCAGCTCTCTTTCAGAGGACCCAGGTTCTGTTCGCAGCACCTATATGGTGGCTAACAACCATCCATAACTTCAGTTCCACAGTGTCTGACACCTTCTTCTGGCCTCTGTGGGCATTTTTTCATGTGGTGTCCTTACTTGCATTCAGGCAAAACACTCATAGACGTAAAATAAAAATAAATAATTGCTGCATAGTTGCTTTGTTGGTCATGTACTAGTGTATTTATGATATGGTTCAATTTGTAGAAATAATAGTTATGTAAAACTTTTATAGAATTGCCATTTTGTATGAAATGGGGTATGTATCTAAGCAAAGAAATCACAGTTATTCCCTTACTTATATCTCACATAAAACAGCTTGTGATGGGACTGGAGCGATGGCTCAGTGGTTAAGAGCACTGGTTGCTCTTGCAGAGGACCTGGATTTAGTTCTCAGCACCCACATGGCAGCTAACAACTACCTGTAACTCCAATTCCAGGGAATCCGATGATGCCCTCTTTTGACCTCCATGGACATTGCAGAACATGGGTGCACTTACATACATGCAGGCAATACACTCATACACATAAAAAAATTAATACATAAAGCTAAAAATAAAATCACTGTGATTGTTAATTTTCATCTAATTATTTAAGCAGCTACCTAGTTTCTTTAAAGAAGTTCTTATCACTCTATGAGATGCCTTAAAGAACAACCATCTTCTAAAATATTATTGCCATACAGTAATAGTAAAACATAGTATACATTGTTGTATAGTGTATTATTTATTAAAATTTTAAAGGGATTAGAATATTATACTTAGGAAAATATGAGCTATAGTTCAGGGACAATTTAATCGCTAAGTGCCAAAATTTTCTAGAGATAAATACAAGTCAACCAAATGATTGTATTTGGTTTTATTTCTTTTAGAACTAGAATTATGGCAGAATTCAGCACCCCTTGCATCTGGTAGCTGTCACAAAATTCTGTCTTGAGTATTAGTTACATGACATGGCAACATTTATGTTAATTTTCCAATTATATTTAGAAATAGTTGTCTTCTCTTCATGAAATCACTTTTCCCATTCCGATTTCATGTTTTATGAGTCTTACCTATAGGGAACAAGAAGGCAGGAGGCTTGGAATTAAGGAAATGGGATAAGTTTTGAGGTATGAGTAATAGCCAAAATAATTAGAGGTATTAGATAGACTTATTAGTTTAACAAAACCTAAAGAAGAATATTCATTTGAATGTTAGCTTTGTTATGGAATGCTGTAATCCAGGAAGGTCTTGATCAACACTGTCCATTAATCATCTCTAGTCAAGAATTAATATTTTAATATATAAAGTTTATTAAATATGCATTTTGTTGCAACATCATTGATGATAAAATTAGGTCGATTTTATTAAACTCTCATGTAAAGTGTGTGTATTATATGTGAATGTCCATCATGTAGTTACTGTACACAAAGGACACTAACTTTACCAGACTCATAAGTGGCCTCTATTCTCTAGTTTTTTAATGTCTTTTTAATTTAAACTTCAAAATGAATAGTATAGAAAGTATATAAATATATATCTCAAAGAAACATATAATTATGAAATAATTCAAAATTAATAAAGTTATTCTCATCCACAGTACATAAAATTATGCATGCCGAAAGGGATCATTTAGGTACGATCACAGAAAATCAAAGTTGATCTCTAGTTTCAAGTTTATGTTCTGCAAGCCTAGAAATGAGTTAGTGAAAGCAGCAGGCTACCAGAACCCACGTGTGTTAGGCAGCTTTCTGTTATGATAGTGTTGTATCTAACTTTAAAAGAAAAGGGATTTATCCCAGGTCATAGTTTTGTTGATTCCATTCCAAGAGCAAATGGACCCTTTGCTTTTGGACCTCTGATGTGAGGATGCCAGATAGCAATGCAGGATGCATGTGGTAGAACAAACTGTTTAACTCAACAATGAGGAAGATAAGGGAGGAGAAAGAGGCTACTCCTACTGTCCCCCTCAAGAATGTGGACCCAGGAACCCTGGGGCCACTCACTTGACCCTGCTTACTAAAAGTTTCACCTCCTCCTAACAGCATCTGCTTGGGGACCAAGGTTTGAAAGGGCATCCAGGTTCCAAAGTATAGGGTCATGAATCTTAGTTCTTAGTCTAATGTGCATCTGGCTACAACATTGTTTGTAGAGTTGAAATGAAATTTAGATAAGAGAATGCAAATGCACTAATTAAGTCTGGGTATTTTAAAAATAATCTTTGGGGTATGTGTATGTTCATTCATGTGGACACACATGTGCCACAATGTACATGTGGAGCAGAGGACAACCATGAGTGTCAGTATTTTCCTTCCATTTTGTTTGAGACAGGGTCTCTTGTTCATCACTACCCCTGCCAGGCTTCCAGGAATTCTCCTGTGTACATTTCAGCACTCACCGCAGGAGCACCAAGATTCCAGATGTACACTACTACATTAGACTTTACATGGCTTTGGGTATCCAGACTCAGGTCCTTATACTTGCATGGCGAGCCCTTTCATGCTGAGTCATCTTTTACAGTGCATAATGGTTCTTTAAAAGTTTATTTATTTACTTATTATGCTTTATTTATTTATTTATTTATTTATTTATTTATTTATTTATTTATTTATATGTATGTACATGTGTGTGCAGGTGCCCATAGAGACCAGAAGAGGGAAGAGAGTATTAGATCCCCTGGAGCTGGAGTTACAGGCAGTTAGTTGTGAGCCCTCTTAGCATTGGTGCTGGGAACTGCTCTAGTCCTTCGGAAAAGCAGCAAATGCTGTTCACTGCTGAGCCATCTCTCCAAGCCCAAAACTCTTAGATTTTCATAAAGCTAAAATTCAAATAAAGCTGCTGAAGATAATTGAATGAAAGTTTCAAATACTAGATGTATTGAAAACAACATCATCAAAAACTGTTGGGAACAGGCATGGTGGCTCACATCTTTAATCCCAGCACTTGGGAGGCAGAGGCAGAGGCAGAGGCAGATAGATCTCAGTGAGTTTGCGTCTACATAGCAAGTTCCTGGGCAGCCAGAGCTGTATAATAAGACCCTGTCTCAAAAACAAACAAAAAACTGATTTAGGTAATTGCTTTGAAGTATTTTTGAGTTGATAAACAATTATATGCAAATCAGTTGAGATGCCTATAATAGCTGAATGTCTTTAACTGTTTTGGTTTGTTTTTTTTTTTTTTTTTTTTTTTTTTTTTTTTTTGGTCTTTTTGAGACAGGGTCTCCCTGTTGCCCCAGCTGTCCTGGAACTCACTATATAGACCAGGCTGGCCTTGAACTCACAGAGATCCGCCTGCCTCTGCCTCCCCAGTGCTGGGATTAAAACGTGTATCACCACACCCAGCT